ATTCACCAAAGAGGTGTCTGTCACAGGCCCCCTTTGCTGGCAAAGAATATGTTCCTATAGTGATGGGAGGTATTTTTTTAAGTCATGCTCTTCACTTGCGCTGTAGGGGATAGACTGGGATATTTGTTATCATTATAATATTGATGTTGTAGTACTTTGTTCAGAGATGTTCCAGAGATTGCTACATTTTTTTATAGATGGTTTTATTGAATTTACAAGAGATACAGTAACAGAAATCATAGCTGCCGAGTTGTACAAAATTCTAGATCAATAATGGGGTTTCCATAGCTACTCTTGAGGAACTAAATGTAACTGGTTGTTGTTGTTTGGGTAGCTTCTTTCCCCAGCAGTAGTATTTGCAACATGAACATTGTCAATCTGTGCTAGCATGTTGGAACCAGAAAGTGAGACAGAATAGACACTAAAGAGAAAGAGACAAAGTGGAGTAGGTAATATAGTTTATTGGACCAACTTATGCTGGAGAGAGAGAGAAGCTTTCAAGCTTACACACAGCTCTTCTTCAGGTCTGGGGAAAGTATTCCCAGCATCCCAGCACAATGCAAGATGGCGACTTCTGGAGATGATGTTTTCTTTCTTGCATTTGCTAAGCTTGTAGATGTCATGTTGTGCAGTTGCCATTTCCAGGAGCTAAATTTGATAACTACACTACTTAGAAACCAGAGCAACTGTTATCCAAGCTGCAGGCAGCACAAAAAAAGGAATGCAATCAGCTGTAATGTGAAAAGTAAAATCAGATTGCTAGGCTTTATTGTGTTTTAACAAACTAAGCTGCTGTTGTTGCCTCAGGTAAAGATATATAGATATAGATAAGGTCACCAAATGAACCTTATTTTTCTTTTCTATGTCTAGCATGTATTATTTATTTTATGTGAAGTAAGAGGAAAAATAATTTTTGTATGTGATTGTAAACCACACACCTAACTGTGGTTACTGAACAATGCAAGTGGTACCTAGACCACAGCAACAGTTAAGACCAAGAGACCTCTACAGCACAGACTGGTAGCAAGTTGGTTTTTAGCTCAGAGGGTAGAGGCTCCTATATTCTTTCTCAGAGGTCCCAGGTTCAAATCTGCCTGGTGTTCTCAATCTGGGGAGTTACTATGAACTCATTTTGATGTAACTGAGATCAGAGTTGGATTTTGGATCAGTTGTCTGAATTACATTTGCAGCTGAATCATATTTGCATAGAAATAAAAATACTGTGGTACTGAGATCGGGCTTTGTCATAAAACACATATTTTAGATGATATTATAGGACCCCTTCAATTTATGTAGAAGATACAGTAATTCCTCATTTAACTCTATAGATATGTATCAGAAAATGATCGTGTTAAGTGAAAACGTGATATGCGAGGTCAATTTTCCCACTGAAAATTATGGAAAAGGTGGGGGTTGCGTTTCAAGCCGTAGTGTCTGTTGCAAGGGGATGTGGAGTGCAACTGCTTTAAACAGTAAGGAGAGGGGATCACCACATAGGAGTGTAAAAGGTCTGTTTATTCAGTTAAAACTGGGAAGGGAGGGGAATCTCACTCATATACTCAATCACACTTACAGTCCCAGGCAGGATGATAAGGCAAGTAGAAGGCAGACCACACTTTACAGTCCCAGGCAGGATGATAAGGCAAGTAGAAGGCAGTTCATGGTATCTGATCTTTCCATGTTTACTCCTGAGCTGGTCTGCTGGCCAGGCAATCCGAGCAGAGGGTGTTCTGGGAGGCTCCACTTGATGGTCAACCAACCGTGTCTCTGTCCCTCTCTCCTTTAAGGATCAGCTACATGCAGTGTCTGAGGGTACATCTACACCAGCCCCCTAGTTACATGTAGCTTCTGAGTCTCTGGGCCTTCTGAGTCTGCTGGTGCCATGTGCTCTGTTGTTTATTCCTGCAGTTTACCTCAGAGTTTTCCCGCCTATGGTGTCCACCTCAGACATTCTTTTGCACTCGCTCAGGGAAGGGATGGGGTTAACAGATAACACTTTTAATAGTTTAGGGAACAAAATAACATCATTAACAGGTGAGAGAGAGAACAACATCCATTTTAACTCCCCCCTTGCTCCTCCTTTGCCTCCAACAATGTCAAAGTCAATTTTCTATTGGTGCTCAGTCTTCAACATGAACAGTAGATGATGTAAATGGAACAGGGCTATCTTGGTCATCAAATTATCTTTTTTTAGGTTGAACATGAAAAAAACTTTTGATAGAGAGCTGCTTTGCTGCTTTTTGTTTTTCACTGTAAAGTTCCTGGTAGCAAGATATAGTGCTTTCTAAGCTTTTCGCTACTTTTGCTGGGCCTCTTGGAGCCGTGTGCACTCCCTGCTCGGGCTGTGTACACTATTGTTTACTCCTGCTGTTTACCTCAAAGTTTTCCTGCCTCCGGTGTCCAATTCAGATATTCTTCTGTACTCACTCAGGAAAGGGATAGGGGGTAAACAGATAACACTTTTAACAATTTAGGGAACCAAATAACACCATTAACAGGTGAGAAAGAGAACAACATCCATTTTAACTCTCCCCTTGCTCCTCCATTGCCTCCATCAGTATCAAAGTCAATTTTCTGTTGGTGCTGAGTCATCAACATTAGACGATGTAGATGGAACAGGGCTGCGTGGGGCTTTTTAAAGCGTTCAAACCAACCATGACTTGCATTAAATCGCATGCAGGCCGTATATGGCGCCATACTGTGTTAAGGCAACTCGATGAAACTTCTGCCCAAGCTTCTGCTATAATATCTATATCATCTTTCGTTGTGTTTGTTCTTCAATCCACATAGACAATCGCCTCTCCATATGTTCCATTAGGTTAGATTGTATACGAACAGCCTTCTTCACACTTACTAGGGTTGAATTTTTGCAACGTTCCTTAATTTTCTCAGCTTGGGCACGGATTGTGCGCACACTAGACACATGCATATTCAAAGCACGGGAGATATCACAAGCGCGTTCACCTTTTTCAATTTGCTTAATCACTTCGGGAGGATGCTCTAGTGCATTATCTAGAAGAAGTAAAATTTTGAAAGCAAGATTTTCTTGCAAACAGTCTTTCAACTCAGCAGTTAGGCGATTGCTGAAGTAGTCTGTGAAGATGCTTGCTTTCAGATTAGATCTCCAAACAACTGGTAGATGATCCTTTGAATACCCAGCTAAAGCTCTAGGACAGTTCGTTATCACACAATAAACACGTGAGAGAGTGGAGGAGCACTGTGACCACATGCGCAGTATTCATCTGCTCACGTGTACAGTAAAACTCCCAATAGGGCATCAGCTGGAACCTGGACGTGCTCTCTGGGCCGGGCTGCTGAGAGCCACATGTGCAATGGTGGCTCCAGCCTGCACTTGTTAGCACCCGTTTAAAACCAGGGTGCATAAGCCTCATCATGAGAGAGATATGTGTGTGCTGTCATGCGCTTCCAGAAGAGCCCTGTTTCGTCCAGGTTAAACATCTGTTTAGACGAACAGCCACTTTCCTTTATTAGGCAGCTGCCTTGGGACTGGGACGTAAGGTTGGGGGAGAAAGGGGACTGGGTTACAGCAGGGAGGGGAGGTGTTTGGCTCTGGGGAAGGAAAGGGGAGGAGCCTCCGTGTCAGTAGCAGCAGCCTCTCCAGTTATTTTTATATTATGTAAGTTCAAATGCTTTTTAAAGCATTCGAACCAACCATGACTTGCATTAAATGGCTTGGCATCAGATTCATTCAGTTCTATTTTAACAGCATCATATAAAGCTTTGGCTTTTTCCTGAATAACAGCCAATCTCACTGGCATCTTTCGTTGTGTTTGGTCTTCAATCCAGATAGATAATCGCCTCTCCATATTTTCCATTAGGTTAGATCACATACAAACAGCCTTCTTCACACTTGGGGTTGCATTTTTGCAACTTTCTTTAATTTTCTCAGCTTAGGCACGGATTGTGTGTACACTAGACTCATGCATATTCAAAGCATGGGAGATATCACAAGTGCGTTCACCTTTTTCAATTTGCTTAATCACTTCAAGTTTCTCTTCTAATGTAAATGATTTTCTATGCTTCTTGCTTGCAAAAGCAGATGTATCACTTTCCTTACACTTTTCACTCATGATAAGGGATACAATAACACACAGCAAGATACAATATCTAATGTCGTAGTTTAACACAAACACGTGAGTGACTTGAGTAAGGGGAGGAACACTGTGATCACATGTACAAGGTAGTCATCTGCTCATGCATAGAGTACAACTCCCAATAGGACATCAGCTGGAACCCAGAAGTGTTCCCGTCAGCCCCTCTTGGTTGGGCTGCTGAGAGTCACATGTGCCTGGAGGCTCCAGCCTGCACTTGTTAGGAGCTGGGACCAGGACATAAGGTTGGGGGTGAAAGGGGACTGGGTTATAGCAGGGAGCCAGGGAGGAGAGGTGTTTGGCTCTGGGGAAGGGAAAGGGAGGGCAGGTGAGGGGGCTTTTGCAGCCGGCGGCTGAGTTTCCCCAGCTGGCCGGTCACGGGCAGCTGCCCGGGGGTTCCTCTGCCTGCTTACAAAGCAGCGGAGGTTTGCCGCTTGCCGCACAGTTTCCCCATGACCCCCTCTGGCCGGAGGCAAGGCATCTGTCCAGAGGGGGTCACTGGGGAATGGCGCTGTGAGCGGCGAACTCTGTTGCTTTTCAGGGAGGCAGGGGAAGCCTTGTGCAGCTGCCGGCCACTGGCTGACCCTAGGGGAAATTGTGTTATTGTGGGGACGGGGTCGTGTTGTTTGAAAAATGTTCCCCCCCAAAAAATCGTGCTATCTTGAAAACGTGTTAAGCAGGCACATGTTAAGTGAGGAATTACTATATCCCAAAACAGTTAATGAACAGATATTTAGGTAAGTTCATAAATGAATGTTGAATGCTCCACAATGATAAAGGATTTTTTTTACTTTAGATTACTGTTGACTTATGAAAAATCTGTTTTTCATTACACACATTACTTCTCAGCCATGACCCAGAATCCACAAAGTGCATGTTTTTGCATACAGAAATAATGTTTTGTATCTTTTTAAGGGAGAAGAGATTTTTCTGGATATGTTTGAAGATGAATACAGGAGTATGACAGTAAGTGATTAGAAAACAGAAACGCTTATGTAAAACTTCACAAAACACAAAGGACTGGCATAATATAGCCACATGTGTTTTTGCTCAGAGGAGCATGCCTACATTTACATAGACCTTTTAAGTAAATGTTGCACCTTGGTTCGGTGATGTGATGGGAGCCTCAAGGGTTAAAGCTGACTACCCAGTGAAAACTACTGGATGATGGTGAAACAAATGATTTTTATTAAGTGGTCAAAACCAGCAATTAACAAGTACGTGTTTAAACTAGCAATTGCTCAATGCTTTTACAGGATAGAAAACCCTAAACTTAGCTGTACTTAACTAATTACAAACTTCTTTGATTACAATTTAACTATACCAAATCACTGTCTCTAATTTGCTTAACAAAAATACAAAACAAAGACAATATAATGATAATAAAAACTTTGTCCAAAGTCAGCCCCTCTATGGTTATTTTAGGACAGCTGGTGGAGTTAGTTATAAATCTACTTTTACAACTTAACAAATCCGGGGCTTCTATTTCTAACACTTATACTTAACCTAAATACAACACTACTATACAACACAAAATTATACAATTTACACAGCGTGGTTAACAGAACTTAGATGCACTTTACAGAATTACACAGTGAAATTAACACAATCTAACTATTAATTAAACCAATAACTAATACATTTAAGCAATACTTACAAATCCAGAAATGATAACAACACACAGACACACTAGAACTTGGAGCATGCTCAGGACTCGTGCACCCCTATATTTGATTCGAAGGGTGGGGAGGCAGCCTCAGGGTGATCAATCCTTTAGCCGGGCAAAAAAAAAAAGACACGTGCCCTCAATACACGGAACCTCCGTCGAACAAAGGGATTGAGGGTCTTTTATACAAAACTTCGGTGTCTGTGCCATGCTAGGGTCTGCATTTGGCAGGGCCTGATAGGCTAGTGATGAGGTAGTATAACAATACTGCCCTATAGGAATTTTCGTGATGTATGCGTGATCTCCTCGTGGACAGGACCAGATGGGGCATAGTTAGTGTAAGACAATTGTGTGTTTTATTACCCTATGTTTACTTTTTCCCTTGCCCCTAAGACTGGTCAAGCTACGGTCAAATGAGGCTTATCTGTAAATTCAGCTAGGCGTTATCTAGTTATGCTTACCTCCCTATTTTCTTGGTGCCTTTGAGTTCCAGGATGCCTATAAGGTTAAATTCCATTCACAAAAACTGCATTGTGCTGCCCATGCTCCTCTGAGTATCTGGGTTTTGTGTGAGGGGCCTTGTGTGGCAGGATAGGCTATACGCGAAGGCCATGGACAGAAAAAACCTGCTTTACAACAGTAAAAATTCCACATACTCTAAAATTGTATAAAAAGCATAATGCCCTCAGAAATGCAGTACCTGTTTAACATCATGCTGAAACACTAATCAATGGAAGTAAGAACATAAGACCTGCCATACTGGGTCAGACCAAAGGTCCATTTAGCCCAGTGTCCTGTCTTCTAACAGTGGCCAATAACTGATGCCTCAGCGGGAGTGAACAAAATTAGCAATCATCAAGAGATCAAGTGAACAAAATTAGCAATCATCAGGTGGAAGAGATGGATGAGGCTTTTTTTAAACAATTAACAAAACTATCCAAAGCCCAAGATTTGGTGGTGATGGGGGACTTCAACTATCCAGACATATGTTGGGAAACTAACACAGCGAGGCACAGGCTATCCAATAAGTTTCTGGACTGCATTGGAGACAACTTTCTGTTTCAGAAGGTTGAAAAAGCTACCAGAGGAGAAGCTGTTCTGGATTTGGTTTTAACAAATAGGGAGGAACTAGTTGAGAACTTGAAAGTGGAAGACAGTATAGGGGACAGTGATCATGAAATAATAGAGTTCATGATCTTAAGGAAAGGTAGAAGGGAGACCAGCACAATTGAGGTTATGGATTTCAGGAAGGCAGATTTTGATAAGCTCAGAGAACTTGTAGGTAAGGTCCCATGGGAAGCAAGACTGAAGGGAAAAACAACTGAGGAGAGTTGGAAGTATTTCAAAGGGACGTTGTTAAGGGCCCAAAAGCAAACAATTCCGCTGTGTAGGAAAGATAGAAAATATGGCAAAAGACCAGCTTGGCTTAACAAGGAGATCTTGCATGATCTCAAAATAAAAAAGGAGTCATATAAAAAATGGAAACTAGGACAACTAACAAAGGATGAATATAGGCAAGCAACACGGGAATGCAGGGGCAAGATTAGAAAGGCAAAGGCACAAAATGAGATCAAACTAGCTACAGGCATAAAGGGAAACAAGAAGACCTTTTATAAATACATTAAAAGCAAGAGGAAGACCAAGGACAGGGTAGGCCCACTGCTTAGTGAGGAGGGAGAAGCAGTAACAGGGAACTTGGAAATGGCGGAGATGCTCAATGACTTCTTTGTTTCGGTCTTCACCGAGAAGTCTGGAGGTGTGCCTAACGTAGTGAATACAAGCAGAGAGAGGGTAAGTTTAGAAGATAGGATACACAAAGAACAAGTTAAAAATCACTTAGGAAAGTTAGATGTCAGCAAGTCACCAGGTCCTGATGAAATGCATCCCAGGATACTCAAGGAGCTGATAGAGGAGGTATCTGAGCCTTTAGCTATGATCTTTGAAAAATCATGGCAGACAGGGGAGATTCCAGAAGACTGGAAAAGGGCAAATATTGTGCCCATCTATAAAAAGGGGAATAAGAACAACCCAGGAAATTATAGACCGGTCAGTTTAACGTCTGTCCCAGGGAAGATAATGGAGCAGGTAATTAAGGAAATCATATGCAAACACTTGGAAGGTAATAAAGTGATAGGGAATAGCCAGCATGGGTTTGTGAAGAACAAGTCATGCCAAACTAATCTGATAGCTTTCTTTGATAAGATAACGAGCCTTGTGGATAAGGGAGAAGCGGTGGATGTCATATACCTAGACTTTAGTAAGGCATTTGATACGGTCTCGCATGATATTCTTATTGATAAACTAGGCAAATATAACTTAGATAGGGCCACGATAAGGTGGGTGCATAATTGGCTGGATAACCGTAGTCAGAGAGTTGTTGTTAACGGTTCTAAATCCTGCTGGAAAGGGATAACAAGTGGAGTTCCTCAAGGGTCTGTTTTGGGACCCGTACTGTTCAATATCTTCATCAATGATGTAGATATTGGGATAGAGAGTACTCTTATTAAGTTTGCAGATGATACCAAACTGGGTGGGGTTGCAACTTCTTTGGAGGATAGGGACATAATTCAAAATGACCTTAGCAAGTTAGAGAAATGGTCGGAGGTAAACAGGATGAGGTTTAATAAGGAGAAATGCAGAGTGCTCCACTTAGGAAGGAACAATCAGTTCCATACATACAAGATGGGAAGCGACTGTCTAGGAAGGAGCATGGCGGAAAGGGATCTAGGGGTCATAGTGGACCACAAGTTGAATATGAGTCAACAGTGTGATGCTGTTGCCAAAAAAGCAAATATGATTCTAGGTTGTATCAACAGGTGTGTTGTAAGCAAAACTCGTGAAGTCATTCTGCCGCTCTATTCTGCACTAGTTAGGCCTCAGCTGGAGTACTGTGTCCAGTTCTGGGCGCCACATTTCAAGAAAGATGTGGAGAAATTGGAAAGGGTACAGAGAAGAGTGACAAGAATGATTAAAGGTCTAGAGAAGCCTATGAAGCCAGGCTTCATGAACTGGGCTTGTTTAGTTTGGAAAAAAGAAGATTAAGGGGGGACATGATAGTGGTTTTCAAATATCTAAAAGGGTGTCACAAGGAGGAAGGTGAAAATTTGTTCCTCTTGGTTTCTGAGGACAGGACATGGAGTAATGGGCTTAAAGTGCAGCAGGGGAGGTTTAGATTGGACATTAGGAAAAAATTCCTAACTGTCAGGGTGGTCAAATATTGGAATAAATTGCCAAGGGAGGTGGTGGAATCTCCCTCTCTGGAGATATTTAAGAACAGGTTAGATAGACATCTGTCAGGGATGGTGTAGACGGAGCTTGGTCCTGCCTTGAGGGCGGGGGGCTCTCGAGGTCCCTTCCAGTCCTATGATTCTATGATCCCTTCCCTGTCATCCATTTCCAGTTCCTGACAAACAGAGGCTACGGACATCATTCCTACCCATTCTGGCTAATAGGCATTGATGGACCTAAACTACATGAATTATCTAATTCTTTCTTAACTCTATTAAAGTCCTCGTCCTCATCACATACTCTGGCAAGGAGTTCTACAAGTTGACTGTGCCCTGCATGAAGGAAAACTTCCTTTTGTTTGTTTTAAATTTGCTACCTGTTAATTTCATTTGGTGACCCCTAGTTTTTATGTTATGGGATCAAGTCATTAACTTTTCCTTATTCACTTTCTCTATACCTGTCATGATTTTATAGTCCTCTATCATATCCCCCCTTAGTCTCCCAGTCTTTTGTATATCTTCATATGGGACCCATTCCAAACCCGTAATCATGTTTGTTGCCCTTTTCCAAACCTTTTTCAATGCCACTATATCTCTTTTGAGATGAGGTGACCACATCTGTACACAGTGTTCAAGGTGTGTGTGTATCATGGATTTATATAAAGGCAATAAGCTATTCTCCATCTTATTCTCTATCCCTTTTTTAGTGATTCCTAACATTCTGTTTGCTTTTTCGACTGCCACTGCACATTGAGTGGATGTTTTCAGAAAAATATGCACAATGACTCCAAGATCTCTGAGTGGTTATAGCAAAATTAGTCCCCATCATATTGTATTTATAGTTGGGATTATTTTTTCTAATGTGCATTACTTTACATTTATCAACATTAAAATGACATTTTGTTGACTTTTCCCCAACAAATTATGTTCATCTATGCATCTGACAAGTCTATTCTTTATTATGGTTTCAACTAATTTGCCCGTACTGACGTTAGACTTACCGGTCTGTAATTGTCAGGATCACCTCTAGAGCCCTTTTAAAATATTTGTGTCACATTAGCTAACTTCCAGTC